CTCCCTCTCTCTCTCTCAAATCGAAGGTTCTCCGCAAGTTTAGCAAACACCTCAATTAGCTTAAGCTTGGTTCGACATTTCTGCAACTGAGCGATGTTCTTCCATCTCAAGTCAACGGCCGTCTATGTCAGCCATCCTCACAAGCACATCAATTTGCTTCTCCCTGGTCTTGGCCTGCCTCTCCACTTCCTCCGCTATCTGCTCGGTGGTGGTCGTCAAAGCTTTCAACATCTCAAGCATCCCTTTCGAAGGCAGCACCCGGTTCCTTGGACCATCGTCAACATCTTACCTGGCACGTCGCCCGCTGGAAGGCAAACTTGTTTCACCCTCTGATGCCTGCGGCCATGGAAGTGTGTCCCCACCACATGAATCAGAGGACAGACCTTGCATGTTTCTCCTGTGTGCATCCAATACCCGATTGCCAATGATAGACTCCTTTTTCCAAAAAAAGGGAGAGCATGACGGTGTGCTGGTCCTCCTCAAATCTGATTGGCAGGTCCTCTTTCTTGCGGCGCTCGGCTGACATGTGGAATTCTCCTCACCAGTCCTCTTATGCCAGTCTAATATCTTCTTCCAATCACGCGACAGATCCCCCCATTTGTTCTTGCATGATTTGTGGTCTTTCCCGCTCATCCCGCAGATCTCTCTAACAGCGCTCCCAATCCGCCCCCACTTCACTGGCGCCTCGTCCCATTTGCCGTAATCGGGGTCGAGGGCAACCTTAGCTGCCACTGCGTGCTTTGCTTCAGTAAGTGCAAATGTCATTTCACGATCCCATGCTTCACCACGGCATTTCTTCCCTCCAGCATTCGCATGACCTGCTGAGGCCTCTTTCCCTCCAGCATAAGCATGATAAGCTGAGCTCTCTTTCCCTTCAGCATTCACATGATCCGCTGTGAAACAGTTTTCACCTTTGCCGTAGCAGATGCAGATCCCAGGGCTCGATCCCTAGACCTCACCTCACCCGTGTACAGTACCCCTGCGTGTTTGAAGCCGTGACCTGCGTTTTAGGAGTCAGTTGTTGATTGTCGTAGGTCGAAGTAGCTGTCGGGTCTTGAACCGTAGGTCTGTCGGGTAGGGGTCATAGTTGTGTAAAGGCCGTAGCTGTAGAAATTCTGAAAGGTCAAGGTCATAGCTGCTATACTCCTGAAAGGTCAAGGTCGTAGCTGCTACAGCGCTGAAAGGTCAAGGTGGTAGCTGCTACAGTCCTGAAAGGTCAAGGTCGTAGCTGCTACAGTCCTGAAAGGTCAAGGTCGTAGCTGCTACAGTTCCGAAAGGTCAAGTCCGCAGGTTTCCGGAAGGTCCGGAAGTGGCCTTTCGAACGTTGCTCACAGCAGACCAAAGACACGTGGGCAAGTGGTGAGTCCAACCTTGCTTAGTCAGCGGTACACAGTCCCAGTCTCACTTCGTCCAGTCAGCAAGTACCATGTGGGACTGTGTGCACCATGGGCCCGGTGGAAAGGAGCAGACCAACAGAAGTATAAATCAAGAGGCAGCGTCCAGCCATTCATTCATTCCTGCATGAGCCATGCGGAAGTGCTTCCCAGGCGTCTTGTGCGAGGTGGTCTGCAGATGCCCGGAGTCGAAGTGGGCTGAAGGAAGGAGATGGCATCCAGTGTTAGTCGTAGCAAGCGGCCATAGCCGCCATAGGTTAGAGATAGTGTTTCAGTGTGTAAGTGAGTGTGAGCGGAGTACAGCATAAGTGCGTGTGGGATATCCAGGGAGATCCAGAGTTGAGTGTGTGTAAACAGTGGATGTCAACTCTGAGTGGTTAAGTGAAGCGAAGGCGTTCAATCGCCATAGCCATTCTGAAGCGAGTTTGTATCTGAGTTGTGTGGGCGCCTAGAGCCAGTGTGAATAGCCATCTGTTTGAACGTATGCGAAGTGAAGAAAAGCGAGTCTGATTGCATTGGTATCAGAGCTGGTTCCCGCTATTCCTCGCGCCGTGGTCGTCAAGCCGTGTGCCTAGGTTGGGCACCATAGTTAAAGCCGCGCCACCAAGAAAAGGAGGACCGCCATAGCTGCGCCACGGTCGTCATAGTTGAAGCCGCGCCACCAAGAAAAGGAGGACCGCCATAGCCGCGCCACGGAAGAAATATTGTGCATCTGCAAAGAAACAGCGAAGAAGAGAGAGAGAGAGAGAGAGGAGCAATACAAGATTGGTTGTGCAGTCCCATAGCCGAGTTGAGCATTGACTACGGCGTTGACCCCAGGATTGACCTGGGGTTGACCAAAGCGTTGACCGAGGAGTTGACCTACTGAGGCATTGGCCGGGAGGTTGAACGACGTTGACCAGCGTTGACCGGAGCTGTTGACCACAAATTTGACCAAGCTGGAGTTAGTATATTCTCGCCAAGCCTTCAGCCTGTCTCTTATACACATCTAGATGTGTATAAGAGACAGGCTTGTGACCCCTTTGCCTGCCTCTCCAACCCCCCCCCGGCTTGTGTTTTTCTCCCCTAGCCAACATATTGGCCCTCCTCGCTTTTTTTTTTTTTTTTTTTTTTTTTTTTTGGCCCTCCTCGCTTACAGTTACCATTTCACCGAAAGACACGTATTGCAGACTTCACTGGCATGCCACAATTTGCACGCGGGCATCGCACAACTGGCTTTGTCGACTGACAAGTATAACAAGGTCCCAAATGCTCTGCAAAATTCCCACAGTAGCATATCCATAACCGTCAGATCAATAAAAAAAACTTTCGTCCCAAATGCGCAAGCATTACATTTTTGGCTCTTTTGGCTGTATGGAGGATCGAGTGTAGTACGTCCTTGGGGACATCCGTAAATATTGAAACGATACAGAGGAGAAAGATTAGCATGGCCCCTGCGCAAGGTTGACATGCATAAATAGAGAAATGGTCCAAATTATTAGGGGAAAAAAAAAGAAGAAGATCAAGTGTAGTATATGTTTTGATCACTCTAGTACCTGATGAAAGGTCAACAGCCTTCATGTTACTTAGCCTTTGATTTGATTGATGAAAAAAAAAAGGTCTTTGATTTGATTGATGAAAAAAGAAAGGCGTGGACTTTAAAGCAAATTTTTTTTTTTTCACTTACTAAAAATCAAATTCGTGTTTGACTCATCTACACCCGCGCAGCTTTCTACTACTACAACAACAACAAATGCTGCAGCAGCCGCTACTACTAACCTAGGCTACCAGGGTGGCATGGGACCACTTGCCCGGCAGGGCCATAGGGTCACCAGCCCGTACGTACGGAGGTCCCCGGGCAGACCTCCGTACGTACGGGCGTTCGGGGTCCCGTACGGGGTCCGAACCCGACGGCGTTCGGCCCCCGCCAAAAATTATTTCAGGGCCTAAAAATCATTATTCTTTTCTGAATTTTTTTTTGTGAGTTCTCTATGACGTGAGGTACATGCCTGTAAATTTTCAAGTCATTTGGCTAATCCAAATAAGAATTAAAAATCGCCAAAGATGGCGATGTCAAAACGTGCTCGCCCACATATTTTTTCACTTTTTACGTTTTGTTTTCACTTTAGTTCGGGGTCTAAACAATTTTATTATTTTTTTGAAACTTTTTAGTGGGTTTTGTATTATGTGAAGTACACATCTGTAAATTTTCTGGGCATTTAGCTATGCCAAAAAAAAAAGAAAAATCGCCAAGGATGGCGGTGTCGAAAACATGCTAACGAACTCACTAAATTTAATTATCTTTTTATTTTTATTTATTTTTATTAGTAGTATTTGTTTTCCGCATTTTATTTTTATTTCACATTTGGTAAGGAATTCAGATGTAATGCTCAGGCAAATCTTGTTTCATTTATTTTTCTCCATAACATATCTTTTTTTCAGATTTTTTTGATGACTTTTTTTTTTTTTTTTTTTTTTTTTTTTTTTTTTGGGTCCGCGTTCGGCGCGAACGGCCGAACGTATCCCCAAGGGGTCCCATACGTTCGGGCGTTTGGCCCGTCCCGAACGCGGGTTACCTTGTATATATATATATTTAAATGATATTTTGTAATTTATCTTTTTATCTGAGTGGGGAACCGCACCGCCCGGGTGACAGGCCACAGCCCGGTTGGGGGCTGGCCGCCCCCAGCGCAGGGCACCCGGTTGGGGGCTGGCCGCCCCCAGCGCAGTCACCTGCCGGGGGGTTTCGGACCCCCTTTCGGCTGCTGCTGGCCTCCTGCAGGCCTACCAGGTCCAACCAGCCCAAAAAACCTCAGCGTCGGGCCCGGTAGGCCTGCTTTGTTTTTTGAATTTTTGTCGGCTCTGTGGACGTCGATCCTCCATGATCGACGGCCACAGAGCCGTGGGATCTTGGCGCCAAACTCCCTCCCCCCTTCCAACCTTCGATCGGCTGATGTGGGCAGCCACTCACCCCCCAGCACGATCCCAGTTGCCGACTTCCTCCTGCTGCGCCGTCGCCCGTCGCCATCACCATCAGGTGTGCAGCTGCTGCTGCTCCGACGAAGGCCCCGACTGTCCTGCCGCCGCTGCTACGACGAAGGCCCCGACTGTCCTGCTGCTGCTGCTACGACGAAGGCCTCGACGACGAAGGAGCCATTCATCTTCTTCTTCTTCTTCTTCTTGTTCTTCTTGTTGTTCTTCATGCCCGTGGCCCGTTGCCCGTTGCCATCACCATCAGGTGTGCAACGAAGGCCCCGACTGTCCTGCCGCTGCTGCTACGACGAAGGCCCCGACTGTCCTGCTGCTGCTGCTACGACGAAGGCCCTCGTGCTACGACTAAGGCCCCTACGACAAAGGCCCCGGCGACGAAGGCGCCGTTCTTCTTCTTCTTCTTCTTTTTCTCATCCTCCTCCTCCTCCTTCTTCTTCTTGTTCGTCGACATTCAGTAGGTGACGTGAGACACGACAGGTTACCAAAAAAAAAGAAAAAAACACGACTGTCCTCCTCCCCCTACTTCTCCGATCATCTTCTTCTTCTCCTTCTTTTCTCCTCGTTGTCATCTCGTCTTCCACTTCTTCCCCTCCTCCCCCTCGCGTTTTCATCTTTCCCCTCGACCTTTCTTGATCTTCTTCCTCTTCCCCTCCTCACCTCTCTTCTTCTTCTTCTTCTCCCCTCGTTAGGTCTTCTTCTCTCCTCGTCTTCTTCTTCCCCTCCTTCCCTACTCCTCCCTGCCTTTCTACATACCCTACCGCCGCCGCCATACCCTATCGCAGCCATACTTCTTCCCCTTTGTAATGACCCGCCATGGATAGACTGAAAACACTGCTGATTTCCGGAGTTCTGCCGACGGAATGGATGCCTTGCTGAGATTCCCGCATTCTGCTGTGTTTTCTAAGTCTGTATGTGTGCGTGCCTGTTGACTTGCGTGCCTGTCTGAGTGCTTGTTGTCATGTGTGTGTGTGACCAGCAAGGGTACTTGCTTGTTTGGTAGGCCCGTAGGGCCGGTACTTACCTGTGGCCGTGGCATTGAGGGTTGCAGCAGGGAAAACACTCGAGTAGCGGAGCCAGGGGCCGTGGTGCTTAGAGCAGCGGAAAAACACTCAAGTAAAAGGGAGGCCGGTACCGCACCCAGTAGCAGTAGATGTGCCCGGGTACTCTAGGCCGAGCAGAAGAAGACAAAGTTGGCATTTTAAGAGACCCAGTAGCGGTAGGCTAGGTCTAGGCCGGTACCAGTCCATCCAGTCTAGAGCCTGTGCGGGCAATATCAGAGTCTGCAATGATGTTTCCCTCCAAAAGGGAGGAGGTACCGGTTGCTTGGGAGGCAGAGCGGCCTGGAAGTCACCGCCCAGGAGGCTAGCAGGCCGCTATATCAAGAGGTCGAGGGAAGAGCTTGGCCTCATTCTTCAGTGTGCGAGTTGGGCGTCACGCTGTTGGAGCGTTGGTTGGAAGAGCGCTGGCTGCTACAGCGCTGCTGGGGGGAAGAAGCTGCGGGAGCTTCCACCTTGGCTATGGTGGAGCTCGGCCGGTAGGAGGAGGAGGGAGAAGGGGAGCAAGGGGGAGAGTGGCGAGGTACCTACCTGGCTACGGTGGACACCATCTTCATCACCTTGTTAGGCGCTGCATCTGGAAGGCCCCGTTGGGGTAGTGCCGCACCAAGGAAGCTGGAGGTAGAGTCAGGTATGGCAGTTCAGTGAACAGCGGCATAGCTGCTTGAAGCCTCAGTAGTCCGCCATAGCCTCGGCCTGCAATGACGAGGAAGGAGAAGGGTGGCCATGGCTATGGTGGACCTCGTGTTGTGCCTGCAGTAGAAGTGGGATTCGGACATTGATACTGGTTCAGCCATTCAACATTATTATTGTTATTTCTTGTTTGAATAAGAGGGGAGAAGACAAGGAGGAGGAGATTGGTTGGCGAAGAAGAAGAGCCTTGTCAGTGGTCTATGCTGGAGTACATCATCTTCTTCTTCTTTCATACTTCTTCTTCTTCTTCTTTCCCTCTCTCTCCTCTCAAGTTCATTCATTTCTTTTTGCAATTGGACGGCATTGTACTTTCTGATGTATGTATACTTCGAAATTGGCCAGGATCGTAACACCTTTTTCTTCTTCTTCTTCTTCTTCTTCTTCTTCTTCTTCTTCTTCTTCTAGATCATTCGGCAGGTCACGTGAGATACGACAGGCCGTCCACCTACCCCCCCCCTACTTGGCTCATCTTCTTCTACTTCTCTCCTCCTCCTCCTCCTCTCCTCCTCCTCCACTCGTCTTCTTCGTCTTCCCCTCGTCCACCTTGCGATTTCATCTTCCTCCATAGCCTTTCATCTTCTTCTTTGTCTTCCCATTCTCCCCCACTCGTTTTCTCTCTCCTCTTCTTCTTCTTCTTCTTCCTGTTCGTCGACATTCGGTAGGTCACGTGAGACACGTTAGGTTGAAAAAAATATATAAATGAAGGCCGTCCTCCTCCCCCTCCTTCGGTAGTCTTCTTCTCCTCCTTTTCTCCTCGTCGCCATCTCGTCTTCCACTTCCTCCCCTCCTCCCCCTCGCATTTTCATCTTTCCCCTCGACCTTTCTTCATCTTCTTCCCCTCCGTCCTTCTCCCCCTCCTCCTTCGGTCGTCTTCTTCTCCTTTTCTCCTCGTCGTCATCTCGTCTTCCACTTCTTCCCCTCCCCCCCCTCGCGTTTTCATCTTTCCCTCGACCTTTCTTCATCTTCTTCTTCTTCCCCTCCTCACCTTTCTTCTTCTTCTCCTTCTGCTTCTTCTTCTTCTTTCAGTTCATCGACTTTCAGTAGGTCACGTGAGACATGTTAGGTTAAAAATAAAAATAAAAATGAAGGCCGTCCTCCTCCCCCTCCTTCGGTCAACTTCTTCTTCTTCTCCTCCTCTCCTCGTCGTCCTTTTGTCTTCTTCTTCTTCCCCTCCTCCCCCTTGCGTTTTCATCTTTCTCCTCGACCTTTCTTCATCATCTTCTTCTTCTTCTTCTTCTTTCTCCCCCCTCATTAGGTCTTCTTCTCTCCTCGTCTTCTTCTTCCCCTCCTTCCCTACTCCTCCCTGCCTTTCTCCATCCTCCATCCTCCATCCTCCATCCTCCCTCCCTCCCTAAATCCCATCTCGCAATCCTCCATCATCCATCCCAGACACCCCCCCAACCCCAGCACCCCCCACCCAGACCAACCCATCTCGCAATCCTCCATCATCCATCCCCCCCCCCCCCCCAACCCCAGCACCCCCCACCCAGACCAACCCCCCCCACCCCACCCCCCAAACCAAACTTTTATTGCAGATTAGGGGTCCTCTCGCCGAGCGCAGAACGACCCCGGTTCCGAAAAAATATATATATATATCGTCAAATATACTTCTGAGCGTTTTTCTGGCCTGCCCAGTTTACCCGGGCGCCCCCCAGGCCTGCCCGGCCGGACGGCGTCCTCACTCAGCTTTTTATTTTAAATTAAGTAAAGAATTTTGATCTGACCCCGAGGCGAAAGTTGTTCAGTTTATTTTTCTGCATAATTTTTTTATTTTTTATTTTGGAAGTTCTTTTTTTTTTTTTTTTTTTGGCTGGGACCTTCCCTGGTCCTGACATGGTCGGCTTCCCCGGGGAAATAGGGTGACCCCGGCGGCCCGGCTGGTAGCCTAGCAACTAACTACATTTCAAACTCTCGCAGTCCATTCATTGCTGCTTGTTTCACTTCACGGTTTCCCTCTCTTTCCCTTGAGTCAGGACTTTCAAGACCCTTTCGCCTGCCTACCTTCCTTCCGCTCAAGACTGTCTCTTCTTACTCCTCTGCTCTTCCCGTCCTCCTCCTCCTCTACTTTTTGTGAGATCATTTGGAGCCATAACATGCCGGTGGGAGAATGTCCCAAACCAGCAAACAAACAAACTGCAATATGCATTTCGCAAAGATGAGGCGTCATCTTGGCATTGACATAGAGGGTTGCGTGTACTACTACTGGGACCCCCAGGCTTGATTTCTCAGTTGTTAGTGTTTGATGGGGTAAGAGTACTGATAGACGTCAACATTGCTGCTTCCTGCCAAGTACTTGGCACAATTCAACAACACGACCAGTCTCCACTTTTCTGGTCATGAGTCGGCACAGTGGTTTGGAATGTCCAATGAGGAGTGCACATCTAAATCCAGAGTGCCCCCCGTATCTCCCATTTCCCCTTCTCTAGTACCCCTTGTACGTTAGCTATTCTTCCTTGTACACCCTCCTCATTAAACCACCGGTACACCCAGGCCTGGAGGCACCTTGCTGGGCACTAAGCTTTCACGAACTGCCAGCGGTGCACTTTCTTTTTTGGCCGGTGCCACTGGCCATTACGGTCCGATAGGCCGAGCCTCCAATAATTTTGTAGGCGACGAGTTGCACTTTCAGCAAGGCTGGGGCCGCACTGGCGGTTTAATGAAAGAAGTGATGAAGATCTCCCCCATCCCTTGTCCCTTGAGGACTCTTTTTTTTCCTTCTCTCTCCCCTTCTCCTCTTTTTTCAAGAAGAGGCGACGGCCTTGAGATATCATAATTGAACCCATAATTATCAGAATTATTCTTTTGTACCGGAACAATTATTCTTTTGTACCGGAACAAATCTAACCGCTTCCCAACAGGCCACTACATCAAAAGTGAGGCTCGCTTGTAAACCACCAACAGTTTCCAGGAGGACGGCGCTCGTACTGGTGGTTTGAACCAACAGTCCGGACACACTGAGTTCGATGGTCACCATTCACGCCTAAAACCACGACCACTACATCCGGCCTTAACCTGCCAAGCCTAAAAAGGCCTTATACAGGAAGTACCTACAGTAGTTTCTAGCAGGCCAAGAGGGAAGATCCAAGCCTGCATGGTCACCACTTCGCGAACGAGCCCATACTATGTCCCGGTGGTCTGAGGGCATTATACTCAGACCAGGACTTGCGACCCTTTCACCAGCGCTAGGAATTTCTCACAGGCAATCTCTTTTTTTTCAAGTTTTTGGATAATTTGCATAATAACGTTGCGATCTATAGAATCAAAACAGCTAGTTATGTCGCCATCGACGGCCCGCATTTGGTGTTTTTGTATTCCTACATGGAGGCTCGCAAGAGTCAGAGCTGTGGCGGCGGAGCCTCCAAGATATATACGACAGCAAATACCGCCGGACCTTGGATGTATCTGTCCGAGCTGGTCCCACTACCATTTCCGACGATTGTCTGGTCGTCGGGAGGTCGGCCCTATCCGACGACCACAAACTTCTTGTGTCTGCATGAATTGGCCCATGCTTGAGCAGTACGAATCCATCGGTCCTTGGTTGGTCCGTCAGTCCGTCGGGTGTTCACTTCAAAACCCCCGCATCAACAATTTTCCGCTGACGTGGTGTACCCAGAGCTCAGGGAGACAGAGCCCTGGTGGGCGTTTCATTCCATGCTCTAGCGGAGCATACATTCACTATTTCGAGCACGCACGGAGAAGAGTGACAGAGGCCTGACAACACCAAACTGGCCAGAAGGTGGGAGCTGTGCTCCAGAAAGGATGGAAAACATTACATAGGAGAAGAAAGGGATGCAGGGAGAGGATCCGTGTCCGCAGAGCGATAGCAGGACTGAAAGCCAACAAAGCCACGTTACTTAGTCGCACCTGCAGGGTGAAAATTATTTCAAGGACGGACATTTTCGGTCACTTTCAGCACAGAGTCCATACATCATGGCAAAAGGAATGGAGAAGAAGCATTGGGGGGGAGGTGGGTGGGGGGCAAGTCCAAGACATCAAGAAGTGGGGGGGGGGGGGGGGGCATTCGATTGAGTTGGAGGCAGGAGGGAGCATGAGGCACAGCACAGGAGAAGCGGGACAGTGGGAAGGAGGAGGATTGTCCAAACAGTGAGTTTCCCAGGGGGCATTGCAGCACAGGAGGTCTTCAGATACATACTGCAATCAAGGAGAACGAAGTCTGCTCGGCGCCGCATGCACACATTGCACAGCTCATGCGTAAGAGTATCCTGCGGAACGGCTTGGCTAACATCATCTGCTGAAGAGACAGCTCTCCCGAGGTCCCCATTCGGACTCGCTGACTTCGACCCCGAAGGGAGTGAAGACGCACCTTGAGTGGTCACACCATTGGGTCCGGTGCGCACGGAGTTGCCGGTCACATCGTTCATCCTCTCAAGATACTGCTCCCCCTGATGCCATGCAAGAGTCCAGCCTTGCCCTGCCTCGGGCATCGAAACTCTACCACATCATCGACAGTTAAATCCCGAAAGTGAAACATAGCCAACACAAAGCCAGCAAACACAGATTAGACCGAAGTCGCTCCACAATAGGAATATGCCCACAAAGACAACAAAACCGTCCGGGCTTCGAACTTTACAAGGGATGGGTGTTACTGAGGGAGGGGGGGGGGGAAAGGTGGGAGCCAGGCGTTAGGACACAACGCTGTGTACCTTTTTTTATGACTTCAACAATGGTTGACGACAGGGACCTTGGCACCACCACCGCTATGTTCGCAGTGAGTTCGCTTGAGACTATACTCCATCTTATGGCTAGGATCTGCTAGACTCATGGTTCCTGAGTAAGGACATATCATTAATGCCACCTACCATCTTCACCCGGTCATAATAGCTGCATCTAGCCCGAAAGTTGCCCCAGATACTGTAAACCGGTCGTTCTAAATCCTAAACCCTAAAACCTAAATCCTGAAGACCATAGTCAAGACTCTTTTGCTTTCCCTCCCCATTCTTTCTCCTAGGTGCGAGGATTCAGAACCTCGGCAATGCCAGGAAAAGGGCCTGCACACTCGCCCTTCTGTGAGATGTCCCAATTTGGTTTACTAAAGGGCCTGTGCGCGCTGCCCTTCTGTGAGACGTCGCAATTTGGTTTACTGATTGCTAATTTCCTTGCACAGGGCTTGTTATGCAAGCATGCCTAGTGGGCCTAGCTCAGTTCGTAGACCGATGAAGTGTCGAAATACAGAGACCTGAGTTCGAATCCACATCTGTTTTTTTTACAAGTAAAATTTCTAAAAGATAGAGGCAATAGGTCCAAATAAGGAAGGGCTTACGGAACTAGATGAATGACATGTGCATGCATGGCAGCATCAATTTAAAAAAAAAAAAAAATTTCTTTCTTTTTTTTTTGCTAAAGCACAAAGCTCAGCCTTTACTACCTTCTTGCGGTCTTGTTACCTTCTGTTTCAGACAACCCACCTTCCCGAGATTATTTTCCTTCACAAACGTCGGGCATTTTTTTTTTGCCACATTTGGGTACCACTAGTTCACAAAGGAGCGGTGGTTTAATGAGTTTAATATTTTTCCTCAGTTCATGTATGAGAAGAAAACTATACTGTTGTTTGAGCTGGCCTTGCTGGTGATATCACCTGGAAAGAGGACATGTATGATGACAACATGACCCTCAACCTTGGCAAAGAAAGGCTCAAAGAGCAGACGCTTCGCGTCTGAATCCCACGGGCTCGTCAGCAGAAACATGTCATTCATTACCACATATCAAACGTCCTGTGCCTTCTGGCACAGGCACCATCTGCATCGTTTTATGTGAGGTCGAAGCTAATGCAAGGAAAATGAGCGATAGCGAACTTCAGAAACCAAGCAGCATCATACACATGTGACCAGAGAGTCGTGACCTCGAACCAAAAGCAGAATTGCAACATGAGTCCCACCAAATACAAGCACAGCAAAAGCTCACAAGTGACAATGTTGGAATAGTCTCATCATCATCAACAGAGAACCAATGTCGACATCCTATCTGGCGCTCGGCGCCCAGACTACAAATGGCAGATTCTATCTAGCCCATCTACAATGCCGCTGGTGACGTCAACAGCTCCCCGAAGTACGAGCAGATCTCGGCCAATGCCGTTCGCCTCAAGCACCAGGTATGTCTCTCGTATCACTCACAACCTCGATCCCCCACTCACAGATGCCACATGCACCCAAGGACCACCATGTGCCCCATCCAGCATACAGCAGCGCAGCTCGGCTATGGCTGCCTGCTCCTTCCAGCTCGCCCGTGAGTGCGTGAGCGCTGGCCAGCATTAGCGCAGCAGCGCCTGCGCAGCATGCAGGCAGCGCCTGAATGCCGAATGCAGGGGCAGGCACTTTCCAAAATGGAAGTGGCCTACCTGCTGCGTGCAACCTGGCTGCACCGGGCCCCGGCCCAGAAGCTTCCGGTAGGCCCCGAGAGGCTGAGCCCCAGTCTGAACGAATCAGGTCCAGGGCCTGTGACAGTTACCCGTGCCCAACTGCCCACAGCCTGTGTTGGGTCCTTGTTGCGCCCAGGGCCTGACTCAGATGCATTTGATAAAAGTAGCCAGGGCCTGGGCGCTTTCAACCAACTGGCGCTGCGTAACTGCCTGAATTTCCCCAGTAGCGCGGATACCCCAAAATAGGCCTCGACTTAGGGAGGCCGACTATACTGAGAAGAGGGCCCAGTAGGGCTCATCAAGGCCTTGTGCCTCGCAGTAAAAAAGCAGAAACCTTAAAACAAAAATTCGCCATTGAAGTGGATGGAATGCTGGGAACCATGGGGAGGGGGGGAAACACAACAACCCATGGCATGGCTCCACCATACCCTTGGTGAGAACAAAAATGAGGAAGCATGGCGGAGGAACAGGAGGAGGTACGGAAGGAGATTAAAAAAAAAAAAAAAAAAAAGCATCCACATGCAAGACACCGTAGCAGCAGCCCATAAGTTGCTCTTCACTGAATGGAAATCACAAAAATGCAAGTAGAGCATTGTGGCAACCTCTCTCTCTCTCTCTCTCTCCCTTCCACAATGTGGATTGGT